GGCGAGGCAGTGGAGACCGTTGCGGCCCTGGGAGTCTTGTACGCGAGGGTTCTTATATGATTCATTGACGGTTCGAAGAAGGCTGGCCTGTTGTTCGATGGGCGAGGAGAGTTGTCGCTGGGTGCTCGCGTCCCATGTAGGAGACATTTCTTGGCCGATGGCAGAGGTGTAGGCTCGGCGGAGGTGGCCTGGGATTGCGGTTTCGGGGATGCTTCCGAATGCATCGCGTCGGCAATACTCCAAAGGATCTAGCAGTGCCAGAAGAGCGTTTTTGGTGTCCTGGTTCATGATTCGTGGGTCTTTGTTGTGGATGAGGTGGCAGAAATTGCGGCCGTAGACGTCGCACGTATACAACTCGAAGCGTTGTTGTTTGAGGAATACGATGAGCTGGTAGAGATCGTTGGCAGGCGACGAAAACCAAGAATCATGGAGAACGTGCATAAAGGTCTGCCCAGCACTGTTGACCGCCGATGGGTTGGGCGACAGCTCCTGCTTCAAGGCGTGGGAGAGATGGGTGTGAGGAGCATTTCCGGCTGCGAGTAGGTGAAGGATGGTGTTGCCAAAGGCGTCGCGGCGCGCAAAGTTGCCATCCGCGGGTCTGCCATACATGAGGACTTGCTGGGCAAAAGGTTCCGGTCCCCTCTCTGATACCCAGGCCTCTTCCGGAAGCTCATCCTTCACATGACAGTAGCAAGATCTCGTGTCGTGTTCGGGTAGGCCTGGGAAGCAGGCACCTTGGGTGTGAAGACGATAGTGAAGGCTGAGGAAATCACCGGGAAGTGGTCTGGCTTCGGTCTCTGATCTCCTTTGCGGGGCGTCATACTCAAAAATCCACGAAGCCGGGTTCGAGTCGGCGGTGCCGGGGCGGTTGTCATCCATCGGCGACTGGTTAAGCATCGTATTGCTGGGCATCGTGTAGCGTTTCAACAACTTGTTGACCTGGCGGATGAAACCGGTTGAGTACTCAGACAAAACGTCTCCCAGCGTGTGCATGGTGCCTGAGCGGCGGAGACCCCCGGCTTCGGGCGGCGCGACGGAGGCGTATTCGGGGGTCATAAGGGTCGGCAGCGGTCCGGGGGCGGCGGGGTTCCACCCGGCGGACGAAGCGCGGGAGTGGTCAAAGGACTGGAAGTCATTCACATTCGGACTGTTGCCGGCCTCGACCTTGAATTCTGCGTTGACACTCAGGTGCGATCTGGAGCCGGAAGAGGCAGAGCGCGTGTAGTCGGGCGAAAAAGCATCCTCCGGCGGCGCTTGGCGTGTGGGGGAACTATCGAGGGCGCCAATGCGACGGTCCATATCGGTGCGGGTTCGGGGGTGAAGCCATCGTGGCTCTTTGTCGAGGATCGCATTCAATTTCTTGTTGGCAGAATCCTTTCTACGAGCTCAAGTGTCAGCACAAGCGCGGCGCAACAGCAATGTCAGCGCGCATACCCTGGACAGTCCCGGTTCCCTGGGGTCGCTTTGTGAACGACTTCTACGATCTTTACCAGAGGAAGAGTAGTATAAACGTATAACCTAGCCAGCTTGCGCTCGGCCGACTCGGTCCACAACGAAGGGCGACCGGTCTGGGTGGCGTGGGAACTGGAGGGAGACTCCGACATTGCGCTCTGGTGTGAGGCCGGCGGCCACAGCCTTGTGGTGTTGGACAGTGTAGAGCGTGTAAGTGAGCGTCTGAGGGTAAATCAACCGGGTGGACGTTGAGATTCGCTTCGGATCAAGAGCCAAGGGAAAGATTGAAGCAAAAGGCTCAGGAAATGGACAGATACATGACGGGAACAAGAGCGTTCGAAATGGACTTCTGCGATGGGAAGTGAGGGGGGATGACCAGGCTATTCAATGGAGCTGAACATTGGCGCGCGCCGCCGTGGCGCCGTGGTGCGAGAGGAGGGATGGGCGGCTCAGGCTGGAGAAGACGGGAGCCGGCACGGCGCAAGGATGGAACGCAGCTAGAGCCTAGAGATGCAGCCCAGGAAGCTCGCCAACAACGATAAGACTGACTGGCCGGCCCCAGAGATGACCGGGGTCTGCAGTTGCACAGCACTTGGAGCCTGGAGGGGAGGTCTCGAAGGTGGTCTGGCGGAGTCGGGTGCTCCAATGACTTCTCCGTGTCTCCCAAGTGGAAGAATGATGGTGGTGCCGCCGATAGGCTGGGTTGCAGGGGACGGGGGCTCAGCTGTGTGCCTTGGAGCAGCCAGACTTGACTACTCTGGGCAATACGGGTGAGATATTGACGGGGTTTGACGAGCAGGAGGTCGTGACTTCAAGGCCACTTATTGCAGCCATGGCACACGGAACAAGGGAGCGGCTAGATCAAGCTCGCCGAAGGATTGCAGAAGGCCAGGAAGCGGCTCCCGCTGAGGGTATTCGCTCGCGAAGAAGCTCCCTCACGTGCGCTCGAAGCAGCAGCATGTCCGATGAAGCCATCCGCGTAGCGAAGCAACCGCCGGCAGAGTGTGATTGATGATTGCTCTTTGGTGTGTTCAGCTCAAGGCACCAGCATTTGACCATCCTTGCCCGCGTCCACAATTCAAGGCATCAGCAACAACCCCTCGTCAGGACGACATCGGTAATTTGGACATCGGCTACAGTCGAAAGAGCGAGGACGGTCTATGTTTCCGCTGGGGCAGATTCGATTGCAAGAAATGACTTCATCCCGGACGCCATACAACACACAATGAGCGGGAGGTCTGCCGTTTGGGCCGCAGTGGAATCGAGATGGGCGCAGCTTGTCTGCTGTCACTCGGGAGAGTGCGAGAATCATGAATGAGTGGAAGAACGCAGAAAACAGCCCTGTCAGGCAGAGTCGAAGGAGGGGAATCGCTGTGTGGCAGTGTCCCCCAAGGCCTCCGGGCGCACCGTGCAAGCAGTTCAGTTGAAGGGACATGAATTGGGGGAGGAATGACGTGCTGTGCCGTGCTGTTCTCGATTGTGCTGGGTCAGACCCAGAGATACGTATCCGTCTTGCCCTGACCCATGTCTGTCTGCATCTCCATCTGGGATGATTAAGCTCATGTTGAGGTTTTAAAGCAAACAACGAGAATAGATTGTCGCTTTTGGATATTACAAAGAGTTGCATTGTTTTAGCAGACAGAATTTGTTCTTTTTCGTCTTCTTGTTCCATTCAACGGCGTTGTCGACACGTCAGTCTACATCAAGTCGGCTTCAGGCATGGATATTTTCCATTTCTCGTGTAGTCAACACAGAGGTTGTACAACCAAGCCCCTTCGTGATCTTGTAAATTTCAATCCAACATCAACTGGGTTGACAGAGAGAAAAAAAAATGACTTAGAGGCCTCAACTACTCGATGGGATGGCATACCTTCCCGAGGATGTCGACGGGGAAGAGAACACCCAGAAGAAGCGGAAGAGACTACCCATGCCCTGCCTCTTGTGACATGCATGCATTTCTGCCCCTCAATCCTTCCGCTGCACCGCCAGCCACAGCCACTGGTTCTGCATTTTCGTTTCATCAACTTGGAAGACATCTTGAGTTTGGCAGTGAGAGCACTCATATCCCATGGTTGGCGGCCTCGGGTAGCCATTTCATACCTTGGTAGTGAAAAGATTTCCATCTCAGCCACACCGTCCCTTCCCTTGCCTTGATCCATCCCCGTCATTGAACCTCTGCACCACTGGCAGCCGCTGGATGCCTCCCCGCTACCTGTGCCTCCAGTTCGGTTCCCCTCCCTGCACCCTTCCGAGCCAACGTGCGATGAGCCAACACGCATCGCATGTTGGCTAACAATTCCCAGTTCCAACGTGTTGGCCAGGATCAGGGAGGGCATGGTGATGACCCGCCTTTGGGGGCAGGGCATCCGCAGTTATCGTCAGATTCAGTGGCAACACCTACTCCTCACTGATGCGAAGCATCCAGAGCCAAGCCAAGACAAGAACAGTCTCGAAGCCAAGCTTTCACTCGTTGAACCCCTAACCTTGACCGCCCATGCACGAACGTCTTGATAGTCTAGCGCAGAGTTTCCTTTGACTCTTCTTCGACTTCACAAACCGATGTAACAGGATCCTCTCGTCGCCATTCCCGTCCCGCTCCGCCGCTAGTTCGCGCCCTGATGCTCCCGCCCGTTTAACCCCGGCCGTCCGTCTCTCTTCCCATTCCACCTCACCTTCGAATATTCTTTTCCACCGCCACAATTTGATGGGGCAGAAGCCAATACCCTCTTTTGCGTAGTTTCCCGGGCGGCGTTGGTTTCATGTGTTGTCGTCCATTTTCAGGTGAGGTGGCGAATATCGCATCACATCCAAGCTCTAAACGCGCGAGTGCGCGCTCCTGTCTTCAGGGATTCATCCCCCTTGGCTTGGCTACGTCTTTTTACAATTGATGTTGTTTTCGCTCAACAGCGCATTTCCATATCGTCTTTCTCCCACATTTGTTAGTCGTCTGCATTCCTTGGAGTCCAGAAGAGAAGATCTGGTGGCCCGGGGCCCCGATTTTGTTCCTAACTCCAACGCACTAGCTGGTCAAGTGACAGCAACTTGACCATGATACTGGACGCCGCCACATTTTCAACACAGCTTCTGTCTGCGTATATCGCACACGCGATATTTCGACTTCATGTTCCTAAGCGCCGCCATTGAATCCTAACCCCACACATTGCGATGATTCAACATGGTTAATTTGCTATGGCGATGTTTGGCAACGGTAATTGTATTTGTTTTTCTATTTCCAACTTGCTACCGCAATTCTCGTTCATCATATCCCAGGTGAATACTTGTATAATTAAAGACCCACGACCTTTTTCGGACAGTAGGCCTTGAATCTCAGACCCAACCAACACATCCATCAATCACGAGAGTTACCCTTGTTCCAAGCGACCCAAGCTAGACCGCGCCAACATCAACCCATATACCCTACCACTCCACCTCTTGCAACCATGTCAGGATCCAACTACGGCGCTTCTTCTAGGTAGGCGACCATATCACACCCTCAAGCGGGCCGTACCTTCCTGACATCTACTAGAAACCAACAGTCATCGTACAGCATGTCTTCCAACACTGGAGGGCGCACATCGAGCAGCTCATCCAGTCAGACACGCTACACCTCTTACGCTTCGTCGTCTAGCCCCTCAGACAGATTCTACGCCACCGGGCAGCCTACAGGCAGATCATCCCAGTCAATGGCCGGCCAGATGGCTGCGTGGGACCGACAGTGGAGCAGTGCCAGCAGTGGTGGTCGTCGTTGATGAACAACATTCGCACCTGAGTTTGCAGCCTCAGACGTGCAACCCACCTTGTATCATATTTCCTTGACGCGTACATAGTCGGCCGATACCCCAATGGAATACCTTTCTGAGAACTGTTTCTTACGAGGCTCTTGCGTGCATGATAGCTGAAGCTAGTTGTTGGTGTAGTCCTGGTTGTCGCCAACTGAGTGAGTCTTCATAGTCCGAGAGTTCCAAGTGAATAAAATTTCAGAAATAGCAAAGCCTGGAGTCTGCTGTCTTGAATGGAATACCTTGCTCCTTTCCACTGTGAGCCTTGGCGCCGAAGTCAACTTGACAACGACTGATTGGAAGCAAGTTAAGATGGCAACTGGACAGACGAGTTCCACGGTACAAGAGATGACATCAAGTCGATCGCGGGGCGGGCCATTCTTGACATTAACTCCACTGCCGGCCTTGCATATTGATGGCAATGCGATATTACCGAGTCGATCGCAGGCCGGTAGTCATCCCATCGGCTTTAAAGTCTGACGTGGGAAGTGGACGATTCTGGCCGGCTGCATGATATAGCTATATGCGCAAGCAACTCCATAATCGTCAGCATGAGAGGGCGAGAAGGTTCAAGGCTAGCGTTTCGCTCGAATTCCGACCTGTCATCCGGAGATCATACGTATATGAGACGACGATGCGCGCACCTGGCTTTTTCTGCCCGTCGGCCGATCACTCGAGCAGATCTTGGAATAGCTTCAGACGCAGATGACACCAAGTGGCCTCCCAACACAGGCCAAGATCGACTGAGCAGGCCACACCATGGACCGGCCGTGTTGGTGGCATGTCGAGTTCATTATGCCCATTGACGACAAAGAAACAATCTCGAGAGCCCCGCACCTTATTCCGGCTGACATCCGACCGGGGAGGGTCGTATATGTAGGGCTGCTTCTTGGACCGGAACAAACCAATAGCACGCGAGTGAGGACAAACGGAAGTGAAACCAGGCCCTTCGTTCTGGGTCTTAATCGCCTGGTTCCCAACCGGGACCTCCCGTAATCGGAAGACTAGTCCCGGCAATTGCAATCCTCATGTCTGTGTGAGCCTCGATAGCTTGGCGCGGCTGAAACTGTCATCCGCAACAGAATTGGGACGGAGGATGTAATAAGCGGTGGAAGTGGGGAGGGGAATTCAGGGAACTATACCAGCAGCAATATCACCAGTCATTACTCCCGAGGTGCCGAAGTGACAGGTCTCATGTATTTTCCGAGCGGAATCATGCGTTGTTGCTGTCAGGCCGCACACTTGTTCTTATGCATCTTTCAGCGAGACCCTAGATCTTGCTAGCGGCGGTGGTGTTTGGGGCGACTTAGTCTTGATCCGGAGGTGTGATTGATTGATTGATTAACAAGAGAGAGAAAAGGAGACAGAGCTCGCGCCAGACCGTGGCCGGAGTGAGGCAGGGGACATTCCTTTTGATTGCAATTAGACCCCGCCGGCGCACGAACCTCACTCAACTCGACCGAGACACTTGCTGCTCCTTGCAGTGTTTTGCTGTTCATTGTGCTCGCTGCTCATTGCTCACTTCTCACATTGTCACCACACCGTCCACACGTTTTCTCCACCACGTTGCCTTTCTTCACCTGAACTTTCTCTCTGGCTGGCTGGCTCTTTCCTTATCGAATTTTGAAATTGGAAGTGGGCTTTATCGCGTTCGTTGATTTGCAGAATGTGATATCCGCAACTTAATTCTGGTTGTCTCACCGCGAACTGTCACCACCGCCGACAGGGATCACCACCCGATCAATTAAAAGGGGACGCTTCACCACCAAATGCGACGCCATGACCGAGATGAAAATGCGCAGAAAGCGCGTCGCAGAGGACGATGAAGAAGACGAATTTTATCACAGCCCCCCTAACAAGAGAGGCCGCGCTGGATCGGCCGCCTTCAAATGGCTCTGGGCACCGTCACCACATCCAGATGAACCACGACCGCAGGGTCTCTGGCCAGACACCGAGAGGCTCTTTCGAACCCAAAGCGGCCACCGCGACTTCAACCTTCCGCGCTCCTTCTCGCTCCCGCCGGAGACTTCCTCGAGGCGCACGAGCAGGCGCCGGGGTGCCATCTCGGTGACGTCGTCGCCGCCGCCAAGCGAACTGGATCGCCATCTCGCCATGCAACTGCAACAGCAAATCGCCATCATACGCCTCAAGGCGGCATCCCGTGGTGCAGACGACGATGAGGTCGAGAGAATGCGACGTGAACTCGAGGACGTGCAGATCGACGCGGCCCTCCCCTCCATCCTGGGCATCTCCTTAGACTTTGACCGCAAACTCGACCTCGGGTCCAGTCGTTCGCCGCAAGGTTCAGAACAAAGAGGTAAAGTCACGAACACCCACCTCCCTGGACGTCGATCAAACATGAGAGATCCCATCTAACACCCTGCATACAGGATCCAGTTCGTCGCCCGCCGGGTGTCTGTGGGATTCCAAGAAAGCCAAATCGGGCACCGGCGTCGTCGGCAGCTGTCGTGCAGCACCAGCACCAGCAGACGACAAGAGGAACCTGCGACAGCACCAGCACCAGCAGGTCGGTACTGGGTGTGGTGCCGTCGTTCGTGGTGTAAGCGGTGGTTGCGGCGCCGGGGGAGAGGCTCCAGCAGCGGCGGGACTGTGGAGGAGGCCTCGGACTTGAGACCAAACTCTGCTTGCTGCATGCTCTGCCAAGCCTTTTTCCTCTCTTTTTGACTTCCAAGACACGACACGCTTCCGAACAGACGGGGAGCAAGCACATGTAATTATTATTATTCGAACACACAAGACAGCGATGGATGGGTTTTGTTAATGCAGCAACGGGTTGTGATGTGATGGCATGTTGGAGGGCGGGGTCGTTGGATGGCATGAATGTCAAAGGGTCATAATACATTTTGTATTATATTGAGCTGATGGTGTTGATAACGGGTGTCGTAAGGCCCCCTTGTAGAACAGTGATTAATAACATGAAGAGTAATAGTAGAACAAAAGAGTGAACGTTATTTTTGAGCGCATTAATCATAGGTAGTCGTCCAAAGGCGTGTTTTCCTCGTCCTCCCCCTCCTCTCGGCCTCCCTTCCTGTTCATTTGGGAGGCGGCGAATCTGACCTCCTAAATGGCCAGTCCGAACCCTTCTCCCCTGTCGGGCTGTCGACCAGGTCCCCAAACGGACTCACGGTCTGCGTCCGTCTCAACCAGCCCTTGCTCCCCTCCACAAGTTCGCCTTCCTCGTCCACCTTGCTCAGCTTCTCGTTGTTGGTCGAAGCGAACGGGTTGGTGTTGGTGGCTGAGGCAAATGGTGGAGGAGGCCCTTGTGATCCCCCTGTCCCCGGTGGCTGTTCCTGTTGCTCTCTATTTCGAGCTGGGGCCGGAGTGGGAGGCAGAGCCGTATTCGGCGGTCCGTCTCTCGACTTTGGCGGGAAGAGAGAGTACGGCGGTTGTTTCCTCGGCGACGGCGGCACCACCGGTTTTCGACTCACCGACGGCTCTCGCTGTATCGTCTGCATCTGAGGTGCCGACTGACTCACGAACGTCGTCGTTCTCGAAAAATTTGGTGCCCCGTCGCCAAAGTCACTCACCGCGTACCCCATCCCGCCCGACCCCGTCGTCCGTGCCGTGTCTGGCCTCGTCGGTGATATAGACCGTTTTAAGTCTGGCGGGTAGCCGTTGTTGGCCGCTAATGCGTTTGTCGTCATGAGCGTGTTCTGTTTCGGGTAGCTGATTTCCCGTCGTAACTCCCTCTCCTTTGCCTCCTTACGTTTGCCCCGGCGGTAGCGTGTCCAGATGTAGAAGCCCAAGATGGTGAGAAGTGAAGAGCCGATGATGGCGCCCACGACTGCCAATGCTGCTTGCGTGACTGAGACGGCTGCTCCCTGTGCTTGTGAGACTCTCAAGTTGGCGTCGTCCTGTCCATGTGTTAGTCATGTAGGCGATGCAAAGTGTAAGTGAGTTGTGAAGACGTACCCTGGCAGCTTGAATCTGCTGTTGCGCTTGCTGCTGAGCACTCTGAATAGCAGCACTCGCAGAAGCCGTAGCAGATGCAATGGCCTGAGCAGCACTGATACTCGCGCTCGCCTGGATGCTCGCAATCTGCGAAGCCAGCTGCTGGTTCGCACTGCTCGTCACAGACGCCAGATTCGCCGCAATGTCCCTGCTCGCACTCTCCCTCGCCTGTTGCTGCGCGTTGGCAATGCCCTCCCTCGCGCTCGCCTGTGCCTGTACAACGGCGTTATTCGCCGAGATGGACGCCCTCGTGGCGGCGTCGTTGGCCTGTCTCGCCTGTTCCTCTGCCTGTCGTTGTCTGTCTTGGGCCTGTCGTACCTGGTCGTTGGCTTGTTGAACAGCCTGTGCCGCCGACTGCGATGCCGAGGCGATGGCCTGCTGAGCGGACCGGGACGCCTGGTTGATCTGGTCGATAGGGTTGAAGCTATCTTGTCTCCCAAAGAGGGCGGCCGGCGTGGGTACCGCCAGCACGACGCGGTCTTCGAGGGGTATGGGCTTGTTGATGTCCACCGACGCCGTTGGAGGCTCCATATCCCGCCTCCCCAAGAGGTCCATCATGATATGTCTTCCTGCTCCCCCTCGCCTCCGGTGAGGCTGTGCCGGTGACTGATGATCCCCTGCGTCGACCCATCGTGCCCACCGTCCTTTGGCCCCATCTGCCTTTGCTACCGCCGCTAACACGAAGCAGACCCAAGCAGATAGTAGTAGTATTCGTGGGAGGCAAGCCTTCACCATGATTTCATGTCGGATTATGTATGCCTCCTCTTTGCTGTAACCATATTATCCCTATTCTTCCACGGGTAATAAAACACACAACACACAAAAGATGTATAATTCCTGGATTCACGTCAACAAAAGAAACGACCAAAAGGAAAGATGAAAACACAAAAAAAAGACCAATCCAAGAAAAGAGCCAAAGGTTCCGCGAAACGTCCCTAGTCGGCGGCCCTCGCCCATGTTATGGACCGCTTCGTCCTAATTGTCCCCCAGTCCCACGACTCTTGTCGCCGCCGCCCTACGGCACCATTCCTCTTTGGTTTGACCCCATCATCCCTCCCCTTCCGTGCGGTTGACTCCGCTTCGATATCACGCCCGTCGCTATCCAGTCGGCTTCATTGGCAGAGGGACGGGGGCGGAGACGGACGGGGTTGGGCCAGACGCTGGTAACTGCCCGTTGCCCGGTTGGTTGCCTTTCGGACGCTCTCAGAGGAGTGGAGTTGAAGTGAAATGGTATCCTTTCCCATAGATCAGATTTGGGCCCGCCGCGAACCGTCCCATCTTCTCATTCGGTCAGACGCCCAGACTCGAGTTGGTGGTTAATGCACAGATGGTTTCACAAGGGGCTTTGGAAACAGAAAGCTGACAGAAACGACAGAAAAGTTTATGCCTGCCGAACGGGAGTGGTTTGCTATACCCTCGCGGCATCAATATTCGGTTGCGTTCCGAGCTTGGTATTGTCTCAAAAGCCAAAGTTGGTCTGGATCCCTGGTCAGGTTGAGGCTCTCGAAGGAGGGGTGTTGCAATGGCGGGATTGCCCCTCTAACCAGCGTCGATCCTCTCGTGCTCCTGGTGTCGCATATCCCTGTCCGGCGTCACTTGACTCGGGCCCGGCGTGCGGGCAAGACCACGAAGGTCGGGGTAGCCGGAGGAACTCCAGGGGAACTGACAAGATTTCTGCAGAGTCTGTTCCTGAATCGCTCCCAACTCAAAAGAAGGGAGGTGTTCCTTCAGGGTCTGCTTCTTTCCTTTCCCCCTCCCTCCTAGTTGGGAAATGACGACGAGAGACAAATACTGAGCAGGGACCGACCTCAGTCGGCGACCCAAGAACAAGATCAAGATTCTCGGAAGCCGGCGAACTAACCGAAAAAGAACGAGTCATCGCAGCACGCGGTTACCGCCCCATGGCGCGTGCGGGCGGCTGGCCAACGATGGGGAGGGGGAAACGGCGGAAACGTTCTTGAGAAAGCGGGCTGAAGAGATTTGGAAACGTTCTTCACATTGACCATCTATATACCAGTGGTGTCCCGGCCTTTCTTCCTGTTCGTCCACGACCTCTGTCGATCTGTGAGAAGAAGAATCAGCCATCCAACCAACACCCAAAAACGTGGCGTGACTGACTGGCTGCGTGGCACGCCCCATGCAAAACTAACCATATCTCCCAACGCCTGTCATGCATCCATCCTGCGCGGAGAGGATATCCCGTACCTAGCACCTGGCCAACTTTTTGTATGTGTGTGCCTGAAATCCGATGTGTTGTGTTTGATGAGACTGGACGAAAAGAAATCAGGTCATGCCCAACACTGAGGCCCCGATGATTCTCGGAGTATTTAGTGCAGCCCATGACTCTCCGCCCCGTCACGTCGCCCGTTGCGGAAGTTTCTAGGCGAGGGTAACGCACGAAGAAAACTCTTTTAAGAGTAGGTAAAGAGACTTTAAACGGGCAGCTTGAACTTCTTGCCCTTCATCACCTTGGTGTAGTAGATCCAGAAGAAGTCAGAATACAGGATGGTCTGGATAATGCCGGCGACGATGGCGATCCAGTCGACCTTGTGGTTCACCTCGGTAAAGTAACGGTAGATCCAGTTGGGGATGTACAGGGCGCGGTAGATACCGAGGGCAGCGAGGTAGTGGGTAGTGATGGTCTCGGCCTCGCCAGTACGCTGGAGCATGAAGAGCTGGGGCAGGATGGCGACGGCCTCGAGCCAAATGGAGAAGGCCCAGAGGATCTCCCAGAAGGTGTAGTAGTAAGGGAAGACGATGGCCAGGGCGGCGGCGCCTCCAAGCAGATACTGGACGCGGAACGTGTCTTGGTTGGGGTCGTTGGTGGGCTTGTAGGCGGTCGTCATCAGGTAGACGATGTAGCCTTGGGAGGTGATGAAGAGAATCTTGAAGACCAAGTTCCAGAGGCTGCTGGTTGAGAATAGGTCTGTTGACGGAGGATGTCAGCTGAATGAGGCCGGGCGGCAATAGGACAATGCTTGTGGGCATACCAAGGTACCTGGTGATGTAAACCAACAGGTAGAGAGCTTGTGATTTGAACGAAATACCGGAACAGCTCTGCCGAAGGATTAGATAAGGCCCGGGTGACGACATTGTTGGCATCGCAAACACTCACGTTCAGCTGAACCATCTTGTGGAGGAGGATGCCAATACTGGCAAGGTGGGACAAGTCCCCTGGAAGCCGTGTTAGTCGACAGAGCCATCGCAAGACGGGGCAGACATGCTTCGGCACGCTGCGCAGGGTGAAGGCTACACGTACCGAGAATACGGAAGAGGTTGAGCATCGTCGCGGCTTGGCGGGGGGCGGCGGGATCGGTCGCAGTGGACGGGAGACGGGAGCTTCAGTCGAGTCGGATCGGAGCTTAAAGCTGCCTCAACAGCGGGGATTGTGGTCAAGCAGGTGCAGCCTCGGAGCGGCGTAGACTCGCAGTGCGCGGATGGGTGGTGTTTCTTGTCGTCGTGGTCGTGGTGGTGACCGGTGTCGTCTGTCGTCGCGATCGATGAGTTGGCGTTGGCGTTGAGATGTGTCCAGGGAGGGAGCTTCAACTGTGTGCGGCAGAGCTGGCAGCTATTTTTTTTGGGACCGTGGTTCCAGGAGGTCGAAAGGACACGAACGCGATTGCACGCTCATTGGAAGCTGGAACCGACAGGCCAAGCCACAACCCGGTAGGGCACCTCTCGTCTCTCGACCAGTGGCAGCGAAGCACTGACAGCGACGCCGCGTCCTGTTTGGCTGGCTGTTGGCTGTTTTACCTAAGGCAGGTCCCTGGTTTCGGCTTAGCTAATGGATTGTGAGACAGCTGCAGCCGTGTTGCAGCGCTGCAGGTGCTTGGGTGCTAGCGTGAGTGTGCATTCCCGCCAGTTGCCGCTTCCGCGAGGATAGGTCCACTTCGCTAGCTGCCTCCCAGTCACTTACCTCAGCAAACCAGGAACCAATGAGAGCCCGAGCCACGGCCTCGCGGAAGCAGTGGACGCCGTCCCTGTTTCTCTCTGCTCCGTTGCCCTTCTTTGCTGAGGTAATCTCTCGGATTGGCCGAAGCTTTCCCGGTGTCTTGGCTTCCGGAGAGAGCACTGACGGGAAAGAACCACCCGACCCTTGGTGCCTTCGGACCCACTCCTAAGTCCAGCCCGAATGCCCGGAGTCCACCTGCCAGCGAGTGACGTATTACAAAGCTGCCTGAATGACAAACACTGCGAATACGCTCCAGACGGCCTCACCGGTGACCGTCTGCGTTCGCGTCTGCGCCCCCAACGCCGCCTTCTTGCACATTCTACGCAGTCATCTCGTTTGTATATATCTCTAGCGCATCTCTCAATCTTCGAAACCTTGTCGCATCTACCCACAGCATCAGAATACTTGCATACATACCGATCTAGTGTCTCTCAAACACCACAGCTCAAAGAAACCACGAAACCCACCCCACCATGGCCCAATCCCATCGCGACGAGTCCGACTACGATGACTCCGCCGACGAAGCAATCACAATCACCCTCACCCACCGCAACACCCCGCACACCTTCAAATTTCCGAGCGACGGCACCATCACGCACCTCTCTGAAGATGTCGAAGACACCCTCTCCATTCCCGCCTCCAATCAAAAGTTCATCGTCCCGAAGCTCGGCCTGCTGAAGCCCCCGTTCAAGGATCCCGACATGTCCCTCGCCGACCTGCAGGGCAAGAAGATCATGCTCATGGGCGTCGAAGCGAAGGAGGTTGCGTCCCTGCAGGCCGCGTCCGAGTTCGCCGCACGCCGCAACGCCGCCCGCAGCGCCGCTCGGAGGGCGAATCGCCCGTCGCGGAGGCGGGACCAGGCGCGGTCGCAGGCGCACAGCACGTATACCTTCCTGTCCGTCAGGCCGCTGGCGGGGCTGCCGAACCCGGAGCGGTCGCTGGCGCTGCTGGAGAAGCTGAAGGAAGACCCGGGAATCCGCGCCTCGATGGTCAAGCACAAGTTCAGCGTCGGGCTGCTGACGGAGATGGAGCCGCTATCAAACACGCAGTCGAGCCACGAGGGCACGACGAGGCTGCTGGGGCTGAACCGAAACCAGGGAGAAGTCATCGAGTTGCGCCTGAGGACGGATGCGCATGACGGATACAGGGACTACAAGACGATTCGAAAGACGCTGTGCCATGAGTTGGCGCACAATATCCACGGCCCTCACGACAGGAACTTCTGGGACCTGTGTCACCAGATCGAGCGCGAGGTTGACGCCGCGGACTGGAAGCACGGCGGGCAGACCGTCGGGCAATCGTCATCCTATTATGCGGCTGGAGAGGACGAGGAGGAAGGTTTCGAGGACAACGGGGGCTGGGAAGGAGGCGACTTCGTTGTCGGCGGAAGCGCCGCTGACAACAAGGGCTTGAGCCGACGGGAGATTCTGGCCAGAGCCGCCGAGGAACGCCTGAAAAAGATGAACATGGAAAGGAGGGATGGCGGAAAGCCGGATTCAGGAGCATCGCCTTGAGTCCTACGTTTGGTCATGGTCTGCATTTATACACATTAGCCTAGGTTGTTTTGGTTGTCGGGTTTGGGCATTGCGATGGCGTTGGTAAA